TAAATCAAGAACCAAATAGAGCTTTTTATGACGCAATAAGTACTTCATGTCAGTGTTCCGCAATCGAACAATTTCATCATTTACAAGCCTCAATCCCTGGAAAATATGGTTGTTATTTGGTCCTTATCAGTTGTAAAATTTGATAAAGTACAAGCAGCATAAATAATCATACACTTTTAGAGGAATTTTTGCAAAGGTAATAAAGGATCAAAATGGCCAATACCCAATCTTAGTCCATCGGATTGGGTCAAAGTGTGACAGAAAATGGATGCTCTTGATTCCTAACTACAACTCATCTTCGATCAGGAATTACTACTATGTCAACAACTATCTTAGTTACTCAAACCAGTGTGCTTCAGAATTCAGGACTAAAATAATTAAAATTCAGAATACAAAAATTTCTGACAACTTAAGAGTAAGTACCTTATGTATGTACCCAAATGTTACACCAGATTCCTCCTCCAACCTTTGCCCACAACAGATGCACATATTCCCGAAGGAGCCCGGATGAGTACACGTAGGCTTCTCTATGGATGCTTCTGCACATGATAATCTCCCTTAGTCAACAAAGTACAACGAGTGACAGTTGATGTAGACACATACTACACTTAAGGACAGTTAATGCAGATATCACCTTTGCACTTGAGTTCCATTTTGTTTTCAATAGAAGTAGTTCTTGCATATTCAGAAATATTTTTAGGAGAATAGGACAAGAAAAACATCTTTCATAGAATTAAGAAAATACAGGTTACACACAGAAATATACACGTCTATGCCGCACAGAAGAAACACTTCAACATAAAAATTACACAAGCTGGTAGGTGTTCTTTCTGAGAGAAATATCTAAAGACAATTATCATTCATGTGTTTTTACCTAATCTATATATAAGCTCATGGGCTGAAGATATCTCACGCGTAGAATGAACAAAATGCAAGCAGCAGACATGAACATGCATGCAAATGCACAAACATGCAGTAACAAACATTAAGCACATTTTTATTTCCGGAAAAAACAAACATTAAGCATGTGAAATCAATTCCTCTTTCTTTTCCATTTTTTCCTACCAACTCCAAAACTTGAGTATTTTACCATTAGAAAAGAATGCTCCATCAGTTCAAGGAGGAGAAACAGAGTAAGCTTCAACAAGCTGCTGGACTAGCATCAAAGAACTATACCTGTGATATTGTCTGGTGTTGCATGCAAGGTTGACCCCTGGGAATCCTCTATTTTTTCCAATTTTTCAACCTTCATTCTTTTTATCCTGCAAGGTAAATAAAAGATCTACTATAGGTTACCGTATTTTCCTTATGAGTAACCTAATTATCTGGAGGAGTAAGAAGCAAAATGTAGCTGCTAAATCAAGTGCAGAATTAGAATTTCAAATAGTGACCCAAGGTTATGTGAACTACTATGGACAAAAGAAACTTATAAGATATAAAAATCAAGTGGAAAAACTCTATGCACCTATACTGTTATAATAAGTCAGTCATAAACATTGCATACAATCTGGTATGACATGACAGAATTAAAGTCGATGGACACTTTATTAAAGAGAAACTTTATAGTAGCCTAATATGTCATGTCTATCAATTCATAACTAGCAGATGTGTTGACTAAAAGCTTGAACAGTCTAACATTTTAGACTATTATTGGCAAGTTGAGAATAGACAAGATTTATTCTTTAACATGAGGGAGTGTTCAAAAGAGTGTATTTTATGTAAATTAGGTTAAAAAATATAAGAATAAAATACACCTTATGTAACTTATTGTCTATTTCCTTTTCTATTTTAGAAAACTTATATATATAAGGTTATGATATTTGACGAAATACACAATCAACTATTCTTAATATATAGTTATCACATAACAAGAAAAATATACTATAATGTAACACTTCCTCTTGAGCTGGAGCATTATATCACATGCACCAAACTTATTATCACATGCTAAGAAGACTTTCAAAGTCAAGCTTTCATTCCTGCAAA